TTTATTCCAAAATCCACTAGCAATTCATGGAGGGCAGGTCTTTCTTATTATAGGGCTAAGTGGATAGAAAGCATTTGATAAATGCCTTTCGAATACTTTCAAATGTGACCTAAAGAAAGGAATAATATTTTTAGGTAATATCTTGAAACTTTAACGAGATGCCATAAAAATATTTTGTCGTAAGACTCACTTATGGTTATTATATTCCATATTAATAAAATATAGTTCAATGAATAAAAACAGTAAACACTATCACTTTAAATATATGTGACCAGGTGTGGAGAAGGAGGATATAAAAACATTTTGATAAAAGGTTCCTGTTCTCAATGAGTCTATAGCACCATTTAATGAATACAATAATTTGTCCAAAAAATTAAAATATAAAGCTAAATAATAAATCCAGGAAAAGTCATAAAATTGTGTAGGGTTAAAATGAGTACAGCTCCTATCTCTCTGGAGAGAAATTAGGAAAGACGCAATAGCTACCCTTTTGATCACTCTGAGTACTGTACTAAACATTTTACCTGTTAATTCTTGTAACCCTCACGCAATCCTGTGATGTAAGGACTAATAAATTTACCCATGAGGAATGTCTTAAAGATGCGCATAGGATTTTGACCAAGGAAGGAAATCCCAAGCAAAGTCAAGCACGATGCCAAGTGTTTGTGGTCCAGAAGGAGACCAAGCAAGCAGTAAGTGACACAGCTGGTCAGCTGGTGGGGGCCATGGTGTGAAGACTTTATCTACCGTCTATAATTCAGGAGACTTGGGAGACAAAGGATACTTCAAAGGAGTGACATGATTGGGATTGAACCTGAATAAAATTAATCAAACAAATGAACTCGAGTAGATGGAAAATGGAAGCAGAGACACCAGCTGGGACTCTGCTTGGTACGGTTTAGGCAGGAAGTAATGAGTGAGAAGGCAAAGGTGATGAAGAGGAGTGGTGGCTTCAACAGACACAGTGGAAGGAGACTGTATAGGACTTCACAACTGATAACAAAAGGGGATGAAGGAAGGGAAGACTGAAAGGTACCCAGCACTTTCAAATCTAGCCCAGTAGGATCGAATCACTTATGAAGAACCAAGTAAGTACAACCGTTCAGAGGAATCTTTAGGAACCCATTCATTATGTGAACTCACAAACAAAAGAAACTATCCATCAGTTTGCAATATTAGAAAGAACTTATCACAGCAAAAATCTGAAATTTCAGTTCATTGCACACTACTTATTCATATGAAACAACGCGCATAAAACAATCTTACCCCTTTGCTGTATTCACTATCTGAATCACTGCTCAGTTCCTCAGTATTCATATTTTCCAAATCAGATTCCCCAGGTGCAATCGGCACTGTCACTGTGAGGTTGGGGTTATGAATAAATGATTGACAATCACTTTCTTCCATTAAGTATTTGTCCACACTGCTTCCCAAACCACTGATTTTATCTTTTTCTTTGTGGAAATTGTGATCTTTGCTCATTTCGGCAAGCGTGCGGTTAGAGATATAGTTTTCTTTCTTACTATTCAGATCTTCTGCTCTTCCTGGGTCTTTGGGAATCTTCGGCTTTTTGGAGAATGCTTTTAGAATAAATTCACGTAAGGTTTGTTTCACATAATTTACTCCCTTCCTAATTCTGGCAACTGCAATCTGGAGGTTATTTGCATCGGTGTCTTCTTCAATTGCTGTAAGATTGTCTGAGCTAAATGAGCTCAATAATAAAGCCAGAAATAGGTTGAGGACCTATATCAAGAGAAATAGGGAGACAGGAAATGAAAAAGAAAATAAGCACACTTTTCTGAAATACAGGCCAAAATCCAAACCAGCATTAAAGATTTCTGTACTTCTTCACACATAGGTAAGAGCATGTGATGGGGCAGAGGACAGGCGGGATTCCTCATCACTCTCTCTGGAACCTAGCTCCTGTGAACTCTGGAGAGCAGAGGTCAGCCACACCCATGAAGGACTTAGCCTGAGGAGCAAAGAGAATGTTCCCTCCTCATTATCATTATGTCATTCTTACATTCATTTCTGCAGCAGGAGTCCCTTGGGCCAAATTCCCTTTTATGGGCCTAAAAAGCCTTCCTAACATTTACTATAGTTAATATTTATTACCTGTGAGAAAAAACTAGAACAAGAAAATTGTGATTAGTGTTTATTGTGCTGAAGTAACCTAGGCCAAGCTCGATGTTCACTTTTCCCAGAAGTTAAATGTCAGTTTGTTGCAACAAATGGAACAAAGAACACTTGCAAACCTCCTGTAATAAAATATTCTATCCAAGAATTGTGCCAGCTTGCAACTTAATGAGGCTTTTAAAGCATAGAAAAGGGCCTGCCTACTGAACCCAATTCAAATGAGATAATGGCATTATGATTGAGTGGCTTTATGCCAATCATCTAGCCCTGGAAGAGATAATAAAAGAAGTCAGGACAACTCCTAGCCTTGAAGAAAAGTCCTGTTTGTGTGCAAAACCACTTGTTTTTCCTCCCTGAGGCAGGGGTCCAGGTGAACTCAACATTGTGAAAAGAAAAAAAATTCTCATGGAGGGTTGAAAGTATTTACATTATATTTAAGTGTTGTTTTATGTAGGAAACAAAAAGGTAATTGAAACACCCTTTCACTAAATACTAAATACCCTTTCACATAAACACCCTATGAAGTGTCTTCATAGACAAAAACATCTACCTCACTAAATAATCAAATTTAGGTCAATCTGAGGACAAGGGACTCACACCCTCACACCTGAATTTGGTCTCATCTAAAACAGTTTTTCAGAGACGTACGTAGAAGAGCACAGGTTAAAAATGTCTATGTTAATATGTTTAAGAGAAGAGTCCAAGGGGGAGCAAAAAGAAAATCACAGAAAACAACTGTGATGAATCACTGAGGAATTCTGAAGTAGTTTACTTTCATTTTGGTCTTTATTGTCAATGAGAAAATGTATTTCATTATGAGATAACATGTTTGTGTGTGTGTATATTTAACAGGAATGTTGATGAGAAGCCAAGGGCTCATTCTACTACTTTAGCCTCCCTAATCAATGCAAGTGTTAACAGATTTTCTCTTTCTTCCTTTCAAATTTGTAATTAACTTTATTTTTTTCCACATTTATTGAGATGTAATTGATGTATAAAATTGTGTAAGTTTAAAGTGTACAATGTGTTGATTCGATATACTTATATATTGCAAAATGATTACCACAATCGTGCTAAGGAACAACCCCATCATGTCAAATAATTACCTTTTGTGTGTGTGTGGTAAGGACATTTAAGATCTATTCTCTTAGCAACTTTCAAGTATATAATATGGTAATGTTACCAATTACCATGATGTAAATTAGATCCCTAGAATTTATTTATCTTATAGCTAGAACTTTGAACTTTGGCCACCATTTCCCATGTCCCCCACTCCCTGGCCTCTGGTAACCACATTCTAGTCTCTGTTTTTATGAGTTTGACTTTTATAAGATTCCACATATTTCAAGAATATGCTTCATCACATCTTCATAAGGATAATAACAATAATTTTTATTCCATCAAAAATCATAACAAGACTCCACTATTTTGTTAAAATCTACCAGGTATCATAAATAACAATACCATTTTATATCACATATCCATTATCATATAAAGCAGAGAAATATTAATAAAATGTATATTCGATTCAACATTATCTGATTAAAGTTCTTTGCCAGTTTCCTGATATAGACTTGAGATTACTAAAATCTACTTTTCTGAACTACCCTCTAAAACTTATGGTTTTTAACCATTTTAATTAATTGGTAGTAAAATGACTTAAGGCGTAAGTGAGAAAAAAAAGTGAGAGATCTGTTTAGCATATAACTCTAATATGCAGAGGACTATATCAGAAATATAAATTTATGTGTCTTTCTTTTTAGATTCTAATTGTACATCAATGGTAATTCCTCATCCAAGAGTTGGTTATTTATTTTGTGAATTACACTTCTCTTATCTCTCATTATCACTAGCAAATAATGAACAGATATCAACATGAGGCAGTCATTACCAATTCTATATGGATTAAACATTCACCAAGATACCCCATCTATTTTTAACTATAAATTCATATTGCTTTTCAAAGTGTATCATTACACTCACACCTGTGTTCAAGCTTCAATATTGTATTGCGTATTATTCAAAGACCCATTTCAAAATTCTTCTTCGAGTCACTATTTAGAACTGCTCTCCTTTTCTTCCAAGTGTCAAGAGCATTTTATTTTTGCCCCACTGCTAGCACTTACCACCTCTTCCTTACCTGGTAATTTGGTGTACCACTTTTCTATGTCCATAGAATGTAAGTACCTTGAAGAGAGGGACTAATTCATAGGTATGTATTTTTAATCATCCTGCAATACCCAAATATATTTCCTTTCACAGAGAAAGTACTAAAGATATTGAATGAATAAGTTGAGAGAGCCCAAGGAATCCCCCTTACTTCATACATGCCTGAGCGAGTACTAAATATTTAAATTAGTCGTGATCCGTGGCTTTGGTGTGGTATGTTTTGACCTCCTGTATCTTATAAAGAGCTACATTTCAATATTTTTATGTCAACATTTTATAAGAAGTATATGAACAAGTCACATTAAAGGAGCTTATAATACAAATGTTAAATTCAGAAGAAGAACCAAAGAGAGAATAGTTTATTTCATACTGGGAATTATAAACCTACATAAAACTAGGAAATTTATTACTACAACTGGAGGAGTATTAATAATTACAGAATTCAAACTCACGGTGTCTATATTTTGTGCAGATCTAGAATTTGTATTGCATAATTTACTATGTATATGTCTAGTCATTTAATGGCACAAAACAATACCATTTAGGATGTGATTTGATAAATGTAGGTTTCTGTCCTAGACTCTGAATTACTTTTGATATGGGGGCCTCAAGGACAAAAAAAAAAAAATTAGTAACTTATTTTCAAGCCAGTGGGAAGTGTAAGTACTAACCATATAGTTGTTACCATACCCTAGCTCCTGAGATACCTAATCCAGAGTCTGATGCCAAGCTGACAGACTAAACCAAGTCAACATGGTGGCTTTGAAAATTGAAGTCAGTGAGTCATGGAAGAACATCTTATCCCAATTTTCTCCTTTGGTAAGCTTGAAAATTTTCACCAATAAGTAGGTAGAAAGGAACAAACAAACAAAGAGTACAAGCCAAGAAAACACTAATGGAGACATGGAAGATCAATTGTTAAAGGGATATTATAGAGCAGTGGTGGGCAAATTTCTTCTGTAAAGAGCCAGATTAAAAAAATACATATTTTGGCCTTTGTAGGACATAGAATCTCTAGGACAACTATTCAACACTGCCACTGCAGAGTAAAATAGACATAAACAATATGTAAATGAATAAGCATGTCTGTGTTGTAATAAAATTTTTCTTACAGAGCCTGAAATTTAAATTTCATATCATTTCTATGTGCCACAAAATATTATTCTCCCTTTTATTTTAACCATTGAAAAAATGTAAAAAAAAAGAAAAAGAAAAAAACCCCCAACATTCCCAAGCTTACAAGGCCATACAAAAACAGGTAGTATGCTGGATTTGACCCATGAGCCATAGTTTCCTGATCTTTGCTGTAGATCAGGAAACTATGTCTTATTATGTCTGACTATATTTGACTGTAGTGCAATGGGACCAGTCCTTTCAATTGCCTTGTTCTGTTACAGCTTCATTTTTATTACTGTTAATTCAATCATATTCTGTTTACTAGTATGATTTGATATTTGAAAGGATTTTTAAGAGACATGAAAACCACAGATTTAATTCATACGCCATCACTATCAAAATGAGAGAATAAAGTAGGAAACCATCCGTTAAAATAAATATTGTGAAAAATATAAATATGGGTTATCTGTCAGGGAAATTGAAACAATATTTCATTTTATTTTCTGTTTTTTTTCCTGTATTAAAATGATCAAAATTCTATTGCAATTAATAGCTTTATGTGTAATTAATCCTATAATTATAAAATAAGTGATTGTCATATAACAATTTACTATGCAGAATTTTCAATGTGTGAACATGCGACTACGTACCACTAGGTTTCCAATGACCATGACCATCATGTAGACTATAAGGCACATGGCTTGACCAGCGACCTCCATACAGTCCCACATGGTTTCTATCCACTCTCCACACAGCACGCGGAAGACAATCAGGAAGGAGTGAAAGAAGTCATTCATGTGCCAGCGTGGGAGTGTGCAGTCTTCATTGATCTTGCAGACACATTCTTTGTAGCTTTTACCAAAGAGCTGCATGCCAACCACAGCAAAAATGAAGACGATGATGGCCAACACCAAGGTGAGGTTACCCAGAGCACCCACTGAGTTGCCAATGATCTTTATCAGCATATTCAGTGTTGGCCAAGATTTTGCCAGTTTGAACACTCGAAGCTAAAAGTAAACACAAAGCTTAATGTTAATTATTAGGAAAATTTTCAATTTTCAATGTTTCCAATCTTGAGTTTTGTTCAGAATTTTAAATTCTAAAATATTGTCATCATTACCTAGCTAAAATTGATTATTTCTATTTTTTACTTTCAGCTATTTTCAATATTCTTGTTATTTTGTTATGCGTGCCACAATATAATTACTACACATATTTTGAAGGAAGTTTAGGATTGCTATAAAAGCCTCTTATAATGATTTCAGATATTATTCCCTTTAGAATTGATAATTTATCCTTAATTCTATTTTTAGATAATTAAAAAATTTTTTTAATTTGAAAATAATCTGATACTTTTTATACCTTTTCATATTGACATTGGGATAAAGTCCAACATGTTAGTGTGGAGGTTCCTCAAAAACTTAAAAATAGAACTACCCTATGACTCAGCAATTGCATCACTAGGTTTTTACCAAAAGGATACAAAAATACTGATTCAAAGGGGAACATGCACCCTGACATTTATAGCAGTATTATCAACAATAGCCAAATTATGGAAAGAGGCCAATGTTCACCAACTGATAAATGGATAAAGAAGATGTGGGGTGTGTGTGTGTGTGTGTGTGTGTGTGTGTGTGTATATATATATATATATATATATATATATATATATATAGTGGAATATTACTCAGCCATCAGAAATAATAAAATCTTGCCATTTGCAATGACATGAATGGAGCTAGAGTGTATAATCCTAAGTGAAATGTCAGTCAGAGAAAGACAACAACCATATGATTTCACTCATATGCAGAATTTAAGACACAAAACAGATGAACATAGGGGAAAGGAGAAAACAAAGAGAGGCAAGCAAACCATAAGATACTTTTAACGACAGAGAACAAACAGAGGGTTGCTGGAAGAGAGGTGGGTAGAGGGATGGGCTAAATGGGTGACGGGTGTTAAGGACGGTATTTGTTGTGATGAGTACTGGCTGTTTTATGAATCACTAAATTCTATTCCTAAAACCAATATTACACTATATGTTAAGTAACTAGAATTTTTTTAAAAACTAAACAAAAAAGCCCAACATGTTAGAGAAAAATACTTTAAAAAGTCTTTACATTGGTATCACACAACAATCATTTTGGGGACAACAGTTTGAACTTTAGTTATCAAACTCACAAATTAATGAACATATTATAAGAACTGAAATTCTGTAAATGGTAAGTTTCTTACTGTGAAATAAATTATTGCCTTACTAGTAAAGAAATATTTTATTTACCTGCTTCTATTATACTAGCATGTAACTGAATATGTCTTCAAGAGTCTAAAATTGATTCAAATTATGACTATGTCTTCAAGATGCTAAGATTAAAATACTCATGTGATTTTTGAGCTCTTTAAGAGCTTTTGCTATAGAATTAACTTGATTACACTGGACACCAGAACCTAATCTTGTCTTTTGATTTAAACTGCTAAAAGATTTAAATAATAATACAAAGCATTAGAAACACCCCTTTATATATGGAATACAATGGTAAGGTTGGTCTATATTTACCAGTCTGAATGATCGCAGAACTGACAGTCCTTCCACATCTGCTAGAAAAAGCTCTACTAAACTTAAAGTCACAATAAGGCTGTCAAAAATATTCCATCCTACTTGGAAATACTCATATGGATCCATGGCAATAAGTTTTAAAACCATTTCAGCTGCAAAGATCCCAGTGAAGACCTAAATGAGAAATACAATGTGTTTTTTCTGGTATTATGAGAAGTATAGAATCAAAATAATGATGATTATTACCATTTGTTTAACATCATTGTGCTTCAGACAATGTGCCAGATACTCTACAAATGTGTTATCTCATTTAATCCCATAAACCTGGTAGTATTATTCCTATAGCTCCAATGTAAGCAATACAAGGTTAAAAAGCTCTAACTTTCCTGTCCATTCTCATCATCTTTAGATAGCATTTTAGAGGAGCATATTAAAATTCCAGGTAAATAAAGCCATGACAATCAACACAGGCAGTTTTTGCAAAAAAACAAAAACAAAAACAAAAACAAAAACAATTATATGGATCATACTCTGGAAGAAAATGAAAAGGAAATATAGACTGACACTAAAATCTTGAGTCAGCCTTTTTGTTGGGTCTGACTACTCTTAGAGTAATAGAGAACATATTGACTCACTCTTTAAAGATTTATTAGTAGAAGAGGGAAAAGTATTTAATTGACACAGTGGGAGCTAAAGTAAGACTTTCAAAGCTTTGACACAAAAGTGCATCACAAAACATCATTAATTCATGACACTGGTATCAAAGGACTGACTTAAGAAAACAACACTGAAGGACCTGTTTATGAATCATTCAGGTTTGACTAGACTCAAAGAAGCTGACCAAAGAAGGCTCAAAGGGAAATGGTGAAGTCTATATAAGTGCCGAGTCCATTTAAAAATAATGCAGCATCAAGAAGACAATCAGGGAGTACCCCGCACTTAGGGTAGTGGCAATAGATAAGAAACACGATAAATTCTTTTTGGGGTTCACAGTGATGCAGTCAATTCAGCAAGAAGGTACTGATTTTCATGGCCTGTACCTCCATCAATAATTAGAAACCAGATAGGCCTGTCTTTTTCTGAAGAGAAATGGAAGGAAAGAAGAATGCTCCCTCAGAGAGCATATGGTGTACATACATCTCAACTAAAAATACAGTATATGGGAGAGAAGAGAAGACTGACTCAGATACAAAGTCTTTGGCTTCAAAGATCAATTGGTTTGGGACCATGGCAAAAGTAAAATTATCTTACACAGACATTCACAAAGACATCCAGAGTTATTCATGTTTTATGAAGTCATAAATGGGGACCCTTTGGCCATCAAATTGCACTTCTGCCTGCTTCATACAGATTCTCAGAAACTAGCACTTGTTGTTTGCCATAAGGCATTACTTAAGCCAGAATGTGACCAGCACTGCACATTTGAGAAATCAGTCTGGCATCTATTTGCCAAACAGGATCCTATATCTTCTTGAAGCCTACAGATCCTTTCTTAAGTGCCCTTTTGTCTTCTGTGTCTAGTCCTACCATTTTAGCTTCTTGGTATTCTTATTCTTAAGACTTCTTTCTGCTGGTCGATTTAAAGCATGATGATGATAATAATAATAACAATAGGTTTAATTTGTTAACGACTTACGATATGCCAGGCTAATAAGTAGAAAGTGTTTATTCCTCTTAACAATATGATAAATGAAGTGTTATCATTATATTATAAATAATATATTATTTTTCTTATTTTGCAAGTGAGGTATCATTATTATTTTGTAAATGAGAAAATTAAAGACATATTTGTTCAAGGTCATATAACCAGTAAAAGGCAGAATAAGAATTCAATTCCAGGACTCTGGGACTCCAAAGGCCCAGACACTTCACTATTATGCCAAAACAAACCATCCACAGTTTTTCTAAAAATATGTGGGGAATGTACTCACAAGGCAGCTGCAATATAATTATAAAATAGGTAATTATCAAATTTTCAAAGTGTTGCTTCAAAGAGACATTCTGGCAGGAAAAAAAAAAACCAACACCATCAGTTCCCAAGATGGTGACCCCCCCTTTGGAAATAGTATTGTTATAGACCTCTGCACTTCTGCAAAATTATTTTAAAGTAGTATCACCAGAAACTTGACTCTGTACAATGATTCATATTGTGAATTCTGGATATGGATAATTATGTAGCTACACACCCATCTGAGTTAAAGAAAAAAAAAAAAAAAGAAGTGACAATCATGACATCCAAGGGGAAGAACTATGGGTACATAATACACATTTAGAGACTCACCAAATTTCCTACAGTGAGTACATTTTTGAATTCATCAGTCATGGGGTGATGCTCCATAGCCATAAACAATGTGTTTAAAACTATGCAAATGGTAATAGCAAGATCTACAAAAGGATCCATTACAATAAAATAGACAAGCTTTTTGAATTTTATCCAATATGGAGAACAATTCCAGATCAAGAATGTGTGTGCAAATCTGTACCACCAAGGTGGACATTTCTGTCTGGATTCTTCAAGTTCTGGGGGGAAAACCAAGAGAGAGCATGAAGTCAATCATCTGTTTATTTTATTCCTAACCAGGTACAAATCAGCAGTAGACTTTAACACTGAAACAAGTCTTCTGTTTAGATTTTGCAAATTTAACAGTACTGCTTCTATGAAAGCATAATATATTTCATAAAAATCTTCTATCATGATGTTCATTTACTAGACCAAGTGTAATTTAGGGGAAGGCAGTGAAATTAATGACTCAAAGCAGATAGAGGCAACTCCTAGAGAAACATACACCTAACATGTGATGGTAAACAGGAGAACCTATGTTTTCTTTTTTTACTTTTTCCTTGCATATACAGAGAAAGCACATGGGAGTGGGGGTGGGGGAGAGAGGCAGAAGGAGAGGGAGAGAGAATTTCACCCAGGCTCCACGCACAGTGTGGAGCCCCACATGGGGCTTGATCCCATGACCTGGTGATTATGACCTAAGCAGAAATCAAAAGTTGGACACTCAACTGACTGAGCCACCCAGGTACCCCAAGAATCAATGTTTTCTTAATGGAGAAATATATATTTTCCATCAATATATATATTTTCACAGGTGAAATCAATCTCAGAACCAAGACTAGAAATAATTTATGGAGTGGCTCATTCAATAGATACATCATACCATAACCTCTTTTATTTCTCACCATTAAGTTTAGGAAGTGGGTGGAAGCTTTGTCTGAGGCCATCATGGTATGAAAGCACAAGGTGGGACCTGGGGCAGGTGGGAGAGGTGGAAACCAGCACATTGTAAAAGTTGCCACCCTGACTCGCTTCTCAAGGTCTAACCACTATATGTTCTCTAAATTGCTTTCTCTAATGCCTTTTCTTCATAATCTTAACAGATGTTATGTCACAGATTACCATTTTATAATTTTGCTGAATGTGCTCAGAGGCAGCCATTATAGACATCTGGAAGTATATATTATTTTCTTGCATATTAGATGGTAAACCCAGAGACTAAGTTTGTAAGATTATATACTATATATATATATTATATATATAGTATATATATAATATATGTATATAATATATAACCCACACAGCCCTGGTTAACCTAGCTTTCTTCATTTATTATCATTAATTATCTTTGAAAAGTCTTATCATCCAATATCTTTAATCACACACAAAAAAACTTTATCAAGTTTTTTGAGCACATAAAGACCATTCCATTAGTATCCATTGGTTATCTTTACCATTGTTTATAATCATTTTTTATTCTTTGAATTCTTCCTAAGAACTTCATTTACCTATTTAAGGCTAACCAGGGTCTATCTAAATTTTGTTTAAAAATCTGTATGGGTAAGACAGCATTATTACATACCTTCTACAGTGTTTGTTAATATGCTTACTCTACTCATTGCTCTTTGTCTTAGATGGGGATCATTCAACATATCTTCAGAAAGGAGATAAGAACTGGAACGTCTTTTCTTGTGTATTTGATTGGTTGTACCCTGAAAGAAAAAAAAAAGATGATTAATTAAAGTTCTAAGAATATAATTCTAATAAATTATAGGTGCAGAATAAAACTTTGCTTAGGTAGCTGTAGTGAGTAAATAAAAGTAGAAATTAGGCTGCTGGGTTGTAATCATAGTTCTGCTACTTACTGGGTAAGTGTCACTGGAGAGTTACTTAACTCCCATCTCAGTTCTATCATTGGTAAAATGGAGATGATCATAGTATTTACATCATATTCTCGCTTTGAGGATTAAAAGAATTAATGCTTAGGAAGTAAAAAATAAAACAAGCTGCTTTTCTTGTTGTAATCACTTTCATCACCTATCTTTCTGGGTGTCAAATTTATTCAGATAGTTTTACCATGTAAGTGTCCTACATGAAACCAGCTAAATGTGTATTGCAGTGATGTGTGGTAAAGGGACAGAACCTCGGTATTCTCTGATAAATTTCTGTAATTATCCTTTGTTGAGGTAACAGAATTACATGGAGACTGTAATGGATGTTTCTTATTACCAAGGAAGATCTCATGAATTGCTCTGAGTGGATGAGGATAAATGACTCAGCGTGAAAAGGACGACGGAGACTGGTGGGCACAGTAGCAAAATGGAGAATGTAAGCTCCATCTGAAAGAGGTGGCCACTGTTCAGCTCTAAAGGATTGTTGCCATGCAGGAATATGAGCTCAGTCTTACCAGGTGCACTCATTTTTGTGTGAAAATGTCTTGGTTTTAAATCTTGGCAACTAATTCAAAGTTTAAACACTATGCTGGTTCAGTGCAGGCCAACAATACACACACACACATACACAGCTCACACACACATATACACACAAACAACTATACAATTCTACATGTATCACCTATCTATCTGTTTAGGTGTGGTATGTGTGGTATTTACGTATGTATAAATACACACACACCACTTTACAAACGTGTAAATATAGCTCTAGAGTTTTAAAGTTGTATAGTTGTTTAGATATACTTATATGTGTGTGTGTATCAAAACATGGACACATGGGCATAAATGTATGCATTTGTGTCTGTCTGTATGTGTATGTGCACAGACATCCACACACACATATCTGTAGCTGGCTTTTTATGGAGATCTTTCTATTTGACACAGTCTCTAATCTACTGACTTTCAAGAAATGGCAATTTTTCTACAAGTCAAACAAGAATAACACATTCTTTTTCATGTAGACACGTTTTAGTTGTCAAGGTTATATTATCTGTCATGCAATTTTTTTCATCTAAACTGTACATTTTGCCACACTATCATGTTTATTGCATTTCTGTTGAATCTTAGAGTATACTCTAGTTTTGTAGTTTGTTTCAGGATCTATGGTGATACTGATTTTTCTATGGTAAAAGTAAAGTCTTAAGTGAAAATATTTCATTTAAAAATATGAAATAATATCCAAATCTGATATAAATTATATGTTTCACAGATAGTACATCACTGAAAAGCAAAACACAGCAAAGATCTGATTCCATAGAATTTAGCATGCTCATTTGACAAGGAAAAATATCTTGGCCGAAGGCCCAAAGCTGGATCATGCAAGCACAGAGGTCACTTGTTACCTAAAAAGCACATGCAGTCATTCCAAATGAAATATGTATGTGGCCATGACTTTGATGGAACTTTATTCTCACTAAAAATATATTGTCTGAAAGTATGAATATATGAATACCTAGCACGAGTTCAAAGCTTGTTAGGTCAGTCAGAGCCCCTACTGATCTTTAGTAATGCAATGTAACAGTGACTGGCCTAAAGAGGTAACCTAGAAACTTCAGAAACCAGAAAGATCTCACTTTCCAGCCTAATTAGACACTTTCTCTACTGACTTAATTACTCCTAAACCCTTGAAATTGTTGCCTTGGAATCATTGTTTTGTTTTTGCTTTTATGTGTGTATGTTTGTATTAATGTATATCGTTTGGCTATTATATTTTTATTGGTAGACTCCAGACCACAGAGTTTTTGTTTTTGTTTTTATCTTATTTTAATGAAAAAAGTTTCACTTATGTATGGGGAAAAGCATAGCTATTCTAAATTATTTCTAAGTTTCAGGGCACCTGGGTGGCTCAGTTGGTTCAATGCCCAACTTCAGCACAGGTCATGATCTCGCAGTTTGTGGGTTTGAGCCCCACGGTGGGCTCTGTGCTGACAGCTCAGAGTCTGGAGCCTGCTTCATATTCTTTGTCTCCTTCTCTCTGCCCCTCCCCTGCTCACACTCTCTCTCTGTCTCTCAAAAATAAATACACATTAAAAACATTAAATTATTTCCAAGTTTAAAAGCCTAGCACACATTGGAGAAAGAGCAAAAAGGTGGTGGGTTAAGAGTGCAAGCTCTGAAACAGAGAGTCTGTTTGAACTTCAGGACTACTGTTTACTAGCTGAGTGAACTTGGGGAAATTGCTTTGCTTCTCCATGCCTCAGTTTCCTCCTATGTAAAAGAGGGATGATAATATATCACCTTACAGGGCTATTATAAATCCTAAACACATGTTTGCTATTATTATTACTATTATTAAAACTCAAGATTCTTTGCACAAGGTATATATTAAACAGTATCTTCAGAAAGATAGCAGTAGGTGGAAAGAATCCAAATTTCCTTAGAAAAATGGGACCTATTATCAACTAATAAAGATCAGCATAACCAATGCATTTTCTGTGCTGAGATTTATGTATATATATCTATGTCTTTTATACATTGTTTTCTAAAGGGATGGCTTATAATATGGAAGTAAATATAAGTTCCTTTTTTAAAAAATGCAGTTTTAAATATCTTTGAATTAGACATCTACAGCATATCCCATGAGGATTACATTAATGAGGTGAAGGTGTGTTTCTGTAGTAGCGGTATTGCAAAATGCAGAGCCATTCACAGGACCCAAGAAGGCCCCTCTAGCAGATGGACTGATGCAAGAACAAGGGCCAAGCCAGGCCTGAGCTATTTAAAACATCCTTACGCTGTCATCAGAAGTTGCCTTATCTATTATCACCTCTGGCAGAAGCTGTCCATTGGGGAGCATGAGGGCTGAGGGTCCATCAACCAGGGAGACCACACCATTGCAGTCCACGGCACTGTGCATCTTCCCATTCACTGGCAGCACTGGGGGGGACCTACTGGCTTGGCTGATGTTACTGCTGCGCCGCTCCCGAGGTCTGTGGGGCACAAACAGTGAGCCCCTCCTGCTCTCACCGTCCCCGAAAATGCTATGCTCGTCGTCGGCAAACTCAGTCTCAGATCCAATGTCTTTCCCTCGGCCTTTGAAACTAAAAAGACTCGTTCTGCTGCTGCGCCTTGCAGAAAACAAGGAGCCTCGGATGCTGAGTGGTGACTGCAGGAAAAAAAAAACAAAAAAGATGACATGTAGCCATGTATCTGCTGAAGCATCTAAGAATAGAAGTGCACATTACTGCCTCTGAGACCTCTGAGCTGAGGCCAGGTGGCTCTGCACTGGTTGAAAAGAAACATATTAAAAAATAAAGCAATTCAGCAGGAAGACAAATTCTCCCAAATAAGGGATGAAAAGACTGGAGAATTCATCCTTTCTGGAGTAGGTACATTATTTATTACTGTATAGGTCTCTCCTACTTTGGCCTACAGTGACCTCACCATGCTTTCTACCCCATTGATTTTGCTACAAAGAACGTACCACTTATAAAAAGCATTTGGTATTCATACCTGTTATTTAGCTTTCAATATATCAGTCCCTAAGTTCCATAAGTAATTGAAACTCTCTTGAGGCCGAAGGGCACACTGTGTGCTTCTTTGCATTCCAATGCTTGCAACTCCACTTTACATGTTGGAAGCTCAGTCAAGGTATGTTAAGAAAGACCTTTCAATGTCAGTGAGTTTACAAATCATATAATACTAGAATTTGAAAAAGAGATTGCCCAACACCAAAGAGGAGGAAAAGTCACATTTATTGAATTCACGGCCAGGATAAACCGTGTCCATAAACAGAACTGAATGTTTATTCTTTGGAAGTATCTAATTCAATAAGTGCTAGTGCTTCCTATGTAAAGGACAAAGTGGCAGGCACTCTGAATAATGGAAAGCGAGGATAACAAAGCCTTCGCCTTAAATCCAGCTTGTTTTGCTCTTGTCATATGTCTTTTTATTGATACCACATGCTTTCAAGTTCTGTCTCCCCAGCTAAATTATAAAATCTTTGAAGGTAGGGACTCTGATTTCTATGTGTATCTGGAAGCATCTTACAGACTCAAGTAGTAGAAGGTAGAAATTTTATTGTTTTAATTATTTTTTTCTTAATGTTTATTTAAATTGAAGTTAGATAACATACAGTGTAGTCTTGGCTTCAGGAGTAGAACACCATGATTCATCTCTTACATATGACACTCAATGTTCATCCCGAAAAGCACCCTCCTTAATGCCCATCACCCATTTAAACCATCCCCCCACCCACCTCCTCGCCGGCAACCCTCCATTTGTTCTCTGTATTCAAGAGTTTCTTACAGTTTGTCTCAGTTTTAAATGAAGTCATAAATGCAAAGGATAGTAATTGTTAAGTAAGACACCAAAGAGCAAATGGGAGAAGTGGTGAGGGCAGAGGCAAATTGGTGGGATAAATGGCATCTGAGCTTATGAAAGAAGAATGGGTGCTGCCACACCAGGAGGGAAACAAAGAAGAAAATCACCCCACTTAGAGAACACCACATGTACTAAGTAACAGAGGTACAGGGCATGTATGTATGAGTGAATAATCACGATGGACTGAGGGTACATGAAGGTAGAGAAAGGTGGGAAATGAGGCTGAAGCCAGTCCACAAGATGGATAAGATGTAGGTCTTGTTCTATAGTCAGTGGTTATTCAACACAGTCAGAGTGTTTGTTTTGTTTTGTTTTCTTTGTTTTCCAAGTTGAGCCAAGGGACAGCTTTGTTTTGTAAAAGGGATTTGGGAGTGTTGTATGAGAGAAAACAGGCTAGTGTTTAGGAGAAGGGGAGCAATTGTTCATCTTAGAGTTCTGTAGGCAGGGAACCCTGAGAAATGGAGGTTTCAGTGGAAAGAGAAAAAAAAAAAAAGGAAAGAGATATTTTACACAAGCAGAAATAACAGACTGAGCGATTAGTTATCAGTAGTTGATGTAGTCGGGGGTAGAGGTTGTCAAGTGTCTCCAAACTTTCCAGCTCATGCACTGATATTCTGGTGGTACCATTAGTTATGGTGGTAAAGAAGAGTGGAGAACCTAGTCTGGGATTAGTTTTTAGCCAATGAGGCATTACCAAATACAGACTAGATAAAAATGTAAAAGTTAATATGTTGTGTAAATAATTTCTTCATTTATGATAGTTCTCATGAATATTCTGTTCTGAAAATGTTTATTGGAGAAGATATGACAACGTTGAAACTATAGGCTCCTTCAAAAATAGTCCAAGTTAAATGGAAAACTATGCACATCTGTGTTCTTTCCATAAATGTCCAACAACCAATAAGTTTTTACCTAAAAATATACCAGTGAAGTCACTCACTCTCCTCTCCTGAGATCCTGTTACCTCAAGGTAACACATTTTGCTCTATAATCCTAGCCCTGGCAATAAGCATTTGACAATTGCAGTGGTACCTGATTAGGGGTAGACAGTCTCTTTTCACGTGCTCGCCTATGACCTTCAACCCCAAGGTGGAAACTTTTTCTCCTGATACTCTCCTCAGACTCCGATTTGGACAATTTCTCATTGTCTCCCTTTTCTTCCCCACTGGCGAGCTTCTTTTGGTTCTTTTTCCTTCTTCTGTTTCTTCTTTCTTTAGCACTTTTAGAGCTCAGTTTGGATGTTTCAGAAGAACTCTCAGAGAAGCCCATAATTCTGCTTCTCCCAATACTTGTGTACTCAGCTGCTGCCATTGCGATTGCCTGTTGGACCAAGAGGTCACACATGTGGTAAGTCATTTCCAAAGTCTGGGAAACTCTATTATGGGGTAGGCACCTCTCTACCATGAATTTAATTACACTGTCCATGTAATCATGTCCCTTGTGCATGAAGTCATGCCTTTTTTTATTTTTTATTTTTGTATTGTAACTAGAGAGCTTACAAAGCATATATTTATTTCTTCTCTTGCATTGTGATAAGGCCCCATTTTACTTTGGCATTAAACTAATATATACTATTCCTATATTTATGGTAAAACAATTTAAAATGGTATTTATAAAAGTTTTACTAGGTAATTCTGTAACATAAAACTCACATAAACCATATAATAAGAAAATTCGTACATCTTTTTCAGGTAATTAACTCAATATTATCAAAAGAGTCAGGTACTTAGTTTAATGAAAACTGAATTGCCTGAA